TTTTTTTTTTTTTTTTTTTTTTGGACGGTCCCGTCCGGCTCTCTGAGTCACTGAACACCGAATTCGGTTGGAAGGAGGACCAACTTTAGTCCGGTTCGAAAAACGGGTCAGTTTGATGATAAAAGACTGCAGAGAAGCCGGAGGGAGCTGCTGTCCATCAGCTCGCCGGAAGAAGAGACAGAGCAGACTGTACTTTTTGAGGAAGCTGAAGTCCTTCAACGTTTGCAGCAAAATGCTGCATATCTTCTATAAGTCTGTTGTAGAGAGCGCCATCTCTTCTGGCATCATCTGCTGGGGGAGCAGCACCAGAGCAAGTGACTTAAAAAAGATCAACAAGCTCATAAAGAAGGCCAGCTCAGTTCTGGGGACTCCTCTAGAACCTTTGGAGATGATTGTTCAAAGAAGGATTCTTCATAAAATGAAGAACATTATAGACAACCCTCAGCATCCTCTTCATCAGACTGTCATACAACAACAGACTGTCATACAACAACAAAGTGTCTTCAGTCAGAGGCTTCTTCAAATCCATCGTAGGACAGACCGCTACAAGAGATCCTTCCTACCCACAGCCATCAGCATCTATAACAACTCTTTAATAAAACCAGGATGATGAGTTACAACAACATTTAATTTCCCTCTGGGGTTAATAAAGTATTTTGAATTGAATTGAATTGAATTGAATTAGGTAAAGTTATTAAACAGCATGGGATAAATTTTCATTGTTATGCTGATGACACACAATTATATTTGTCCATCCATCCATTTTCTTTACCCGCTTATTCCATTTTGGGTCACGGGGGTCGCTGGTGCCCATGTCCAGCAATCACTGTGCGAGGGGCAGGGTACACCCTGGACAGGTCGCAAGTCCATCACAGGGACACATAGAGACAAAAGAGACAAACAACCATTCACTCTCTCATTCACACCTAGGGACAATTTAGAGTTACCAATCAGTCTAACATGCATGTTTTTGGTCTGTGGGAGGAAACCGGAGCACCCGGAGAAAACCCACGCATGCACGGAGAGAACATGCAAACTCCACCCAGAAAGGCCCCCGGACCGGGGTTTGAACCAAGGACCTGCTCGCTGAGAGGCAGCAGCTGTACCAGTTGCGCCACCGTGCTGCCCATTATATTTGTCCATGAAACCTAATGAATCCAATCAGCTACTTAGACTACAAGCATTTCTTAAATACATAAAAACCTGGATGACCCTTAATTTTCTCCTACTGAACACAGACAAGACTGAGGTTTTGGTTTTTGGACCTGAGCACCTTAGGAATGAATTTTTCAGTCTTTCTCCCTCCTTAGATGGCATTAATCTGTCCTCCAGCTCTAATGTTAAAAATCTTGGTGTTATTTTTGATTAGGACATGTCTTTTATCCCCCACATTAAAAATGTTACTAGAACCTCCTTCTTCCACCTGCGTAATATCAATAACATTAGAAACATCTGATCTAAAAATGATGCAGAAAAACTGATTCAAAGCCAAAGTTTCTTTGTCATTCACATCATATGTGGTACATGTGGTGGAACGAAATAATGCACACAGGGTCCCAGCTACATGCAACAAAAGTATAAAATTTAAAAGAAAAACAATAATAATATCTAAAATATGAACTAAGAAAAATGTTAAACTAAAAATACGCTAAGCACTAATAGTACAGAAACAATACGCCGAACAGCAGCAGCACGAACATGAGTCTGTGTGGGCAAATGAGTATGAAAGAATACAGCAGCATGAAACAAACAACTGGGAGCTAAAGTTAGACAGGTCAGACTGAGATGGTTTGGTCATTTCCATAGGAGGGACAGTGGGTATATTGGTAGAAGGGTGTTAGAAATGCAGCTGCCAGGAAAAAGACAAAGAGGAGATATATGGATGCAGTTAGAGAGGACATGCGGTAGTTGGAGTGAGGACAGAGTGAGATGGAGGAGGATGACTCGCTGTGACGACCTCTGAAGACGGAAAAGTCGAAAGAAGAAGAAGAAGAAGTATGTTTGTATCACATTTTAAAAACATTCAGATGACATGAGATGGGAGCTCCACACAGCTATGTTGTGTTTTTGTAGTTATAATTAGACAAACACAAAGGCAAGACATACCTAAACAGTTGTGTCCATCATGGGCCAGCATAAATCCATCATAGCAGGTGCACCTATAGTTCCCTGGTATGTTGATGCATTCATGGACACAGCCCCCATTGTAGTCATTCCCACATTCGTCCACATCTGAAAGAGAAAGCTGGTAACGTTACTGAATCCTCATTAATGTATGCATGTACAGTATTGTTGACTTGTTCCATTGTTTCAGCTTCTTCACATCTTTTCAAAACTCATTTAATTTTCAAATATAAATAAATAAAAAGCACAATAAACTAAGCAGATCTTGATGATAATTACATTTAAAAAAATGGAATTACATTAAGCCAAACCGGGGGTGACAGGTGTTTGAGAGTAACAGGGTGGACACTTGACTCAGAGACTCAATTTATTTTTAATAATTAAAGCATTAAAATATTTGGTATCGTAAAGTCATTGGAGAACTATTATAAATAGTACTATTAAAATTAAAATATACTTTTATTTTTATTACTTAGAATTGTAACAATTTCAGGAAACATGAAAGGGGACATGGCAGTAAACCCAAGTTGAATTTAAAATTTGATTTATTTATTTTAAATAAATCATCTTGTGTACATATGGTTGTGTTATATGGTACAGCTGAGTCAAACATATAAAATGAAATTAATAAAATAAATATTAGACCACCTTTAAACAAAATATACCAAATTATGTCCTGATGCATGCTCAATAATCCAGGTAGAAAAATCCAAAAAAGTTCAATCTGGTCCTCTGGACATTCAAAAAACAAAACAAAGCAAAACAACAAAAAAAATGTAGAAACGTTTCGTCTCTCGTCCGAGAGACTTCCTCAGTCTGAGGTGCTGTTTTCAGCTCAGTCTCTTAAATAGCACCTTCTTAGAGTGGATCAACCAGTTTGCTGCTGACAACCAAAACCAGCTGATCACATGCTCAAGAAGGACCATCAGCCTAACAATGGATCATTAGCACACTGATGGCTGTTTACTGTTCACAGAGGGCTGAGTGATACTAGCAATCACAGCATTGTAAGAGGGGGACAGTTGAACCCGAAGGCCTCCACCCCTGTTTAATGATGGACGGTTTCTTTTCACAAAGATGGCCTCGTTCCTCGTTCCTCTCTGTCCAGGATGTGAACATCTTCATCCTTGAAAGAGTGACCACTGGCCTGGAGATGAGTGTACCAAAAGATACCAAATTATGGCATGGGGACTCAAAAGGCACTGAATAGTAGGAATGACCCTACTGTACAGTGTTCTGTTTTATGTTGTTAAAAAAGTAGTGGGGGGGGGGGGGGGAATAAATAAAGTAAAAAAGAAAAAAGAAAATTGCCACTTCCAGTTTGGCTTAATGTAATTCAGTTTTTTTTTTTTTTTTATGTAATTTCATTTTTTTCACCACTTCCGCTTTGGCTTAATGTAATTCCTTTTTTTTTTCCAAATGTAATAATGTTTTTTTTTTATGTTGTGTTTTTGTTGCATTTTATCAAATGTAATTTCATTTTTTGAAATGTATTTTCCTTTTTTTATTTTCAAATGTTGTTCATTTACACCTCAGGGCCACTGTAAGAATTTCTTCATAAACCATGTCAGAATGCCCTGACCACTCTAACAAAGCACAAGTCCTGACAGATGGTTTTATCAGTCAGACTCTTCTTTGGACTTGCTTGGTTTTCTAGCTGACTGGATTTATGTTGGAAGTGTCACCAGCCCAGGAACCAGTCAGGCTGGCAAGAGAATCCATGTTGGTGGCACAGGTTCCATCCTGGCAGATAGAAGTTTAGATTTAAAAAAAAAAAAACAACCTCTGGGCCAATATGGGGAAGAAGCATGTCACAAATCCGAAGCTGGCTGACTACTCTGAGCAGGAAGGGGTCCTCCTGGAAGTACTCTGACTTAAGAAACAGAAGCTGGAGATTCTCCAAGACTGAAGCTTTAAGAGTTAAAGTGACCACTTCAATGACTGGAAGATGGGTTGACATAGAACTTCTGGAAAACGGGAACAGGCAGAGAGGCATTGTATGTGACCCTACTTGACAGTTGGAGCAAGAGCTGGAGGAGTGGTATTGTTTGTGACCTCCTCTATGGCAGGTCTAAATATATAACCCCAGATTGAGTTCCTATGACGTCATAGACTAGTTGACGTCAACTCAACTTTTATCATGTTACGGTCGACTTTAAAAATTATGTAGTCGTTCAACCCCTAGCATGGGGTAAAACCAGGAGAGACAGGCAAAGCAATGGCATGGACGCTGTACATCTACAAACACAAGGTACTAAAAGACTGTGAACATGGAGCCTAAGTAGTGAGCCGAACAGGTGCATGGAATCAGGGTTGATTGCTGTGGAGGAACGGAGTAGGCATGGTGAAGAGTGGCTGCAGCAGAGCATGACACAGGATAAACAAAAACATGAAGGCATGAATAAAAGCATGGAAAAACAGGGACTATGGAATGAAGGAGCAGAAACTAAAGCCCCTTTTCCACAGTGACGGCTCAGCTCAGTTCAGCTCGGTACATGTTGCATTTCTATAAGCACTTCAGGACCGGTTCTGTAGGCGGCGTCCAGAATCCAACTCGCCTTACCAGCTGGTGGTGGTAGTGCTCCATTAAGCTATTTACTAGCCACCACTAAACATATTAGAAGAAGAAGACCCTGAAAAGATACACAACCAAAATGGAGGATCTCGTAGCTTTGTGGAACATTATGTTCAGTCTGTGGCTTTTTGTCAAACGTCAAAAAGAATAAACCCAGAAAAATCTGCGGGCAACCAACCAAAATGCTCTGGAGAAGAACAGGAGAGTGTTGTAAATGTTTAGAAGATAAGTGATAGTAAGCAAATCCTAATTGCTATACAGAGTCGTGCATAAAATAACATGCGCCGGTAAATGTCTATTAAATACGGTTTAGAAATACATGCTGTGTGTGTGTTTCAGGTGATTCTCCAGCAAAATAACCGCAGCAGAGCTACAATCTGTTTACGTCCAGCTCTGGAGCAACAGTGTGCCATTAAAGATGAAAGGGCGAGCAGGTGGGCGAGCGGGCGGGCAGGTAGGTATAAATCCTGCTAATGAACTTTTAATGAACTTTACTTCACCATTAAGAGTGAGAGTTCTGCAATGGAGCTAAACTCAAAGAAGTCTGCTACTCAGATAAATAATGTTAATTTTTTTTTCATTCAACCTTTATTTAGACAGGTAAATCCCAATGAGCCTCGAAGACTCATTTACAAGAGAGACCTGATTTCAACAAAGAATGATGACAACAATGGACAACAGCGACAACAATAGACAGTTATAAAAAGTCATACTCTAGTTTTTTTTTTTTTTTAAACAAATAGGATTGCTAAAAGAAAAAGGTAACAAAAAAACAGCTAGATTCTAAGGCGAATGTAGAAAACTAAAAACAGGAACATGTCTGTATTGGTCCCTGCCAGGAGTCCAACAGATTCTTAAAGCCACTTAGAGAGGTCAAGGTCGAGAGCTTCAATTGTTTTTGTAAGGTATTCCAGGAAACAGGAGCAGAGTAGGAGAAGGCCCTCTTGCCTAGTTCAGTCCTCATTGAGGGAACACTGCAGGTAATAATGTCCTGAGAGCGCACACCGTTGATACACTCACGCAGAGACATGTAGGAGGAGATGTATGAAGGCAGCAGACCAAGAAGTGATTTAAAGATGAAAATGTACCAGTGGGAGAGTCTGTGTGGAGTTAATGATGTCCAGTTAACCAATGAATACAGGGTGCAGTGGTGGGTATGATAATCACAGCCAGTTATGAATCATAGTGCACCATGATAGACAGCATCCAACATCTGCAGGGATCGTATAGGAGCGTTCATGTAAATAATGTCACAGTAATCAATGGAGGGAAGGAAAGTCACAGATACGAGGCGTTTCCTAGCATTCAGGGTTAGACGGGATCTGTTTCTGAAAAAGAAACCCAGTTTTAACTTTTAGTTTCTTTACCAAGTTTTCCACTTGAAGCTTAAAAGAGAGATGCGAGTCGACCAAGATACCCAAATATTTATAGGAATCAACAAACTCAATCGGGACACCATTTGAGGATAAAATCGGAGGAAGAACTGCTGGGACCAACTTCCTATTTGTAAAAAGCATCCCTTTGGTTTTGTCGGCATTTAGGACAAGTTTGAGGCAGAACAAATCTAATTTGAAACCATTAGTGAAAAGGCCAGACCTCAGGGGTATCTGAGGCAGGCTTGAAACACAAGAGTCAGGGTGGCTTCTGGGTAATACCAGATGGCTAGGCCTCAGACTGACGAAGCCTCTTGGACGAGGGGCGAAACGTTTCTTTTTAACAAAAAAACGAAGTCCAGATGACATGATTCAACCTTTTTTGTTGTCTGGATGTAGTTGAATGCAGATTTCAAAAGCTGAAAAGCCTTATCAACAGTTTTAGCTCGACAATAAACAACTGTGTCATCAGCATAGAAATGTATGGATGCATTAGGGATGTTTTTACCTACTGTCAAATAAGTACAGAGCTCAGACTAATTTTATGAGAGAGAACGTCAGAACATGTTATTATGTGTGTTGATCTGCTAAGTCATGGTTTGAAGGCCTCACAGCACACACACGCACACACATGCAGGTCTACTTGGAGAAACACACAAACACACGCGCACACAGGCCCTTCTGAGGCTCCTCTTACACTCTCACATAAACACAAGTGTGAAAACACGCAGACTCACTTGACACATGTACACACATGCAGAAAAGAGCAGAAGGGAAGGCAGAGCGAAAAGATCAGCTTCAGATGAAATGTGTTTATGAAAAATCAATAAATAAAGTGGATGATCAAGTGAAATTATAAACTTTGTGATTAAAGAAGGTAATTTATGATTTTACAATGTAACCTGTGTTTAAGCTGATTCATGATGAATGTTAAATGGAAGATACCAGAAGCTTCGTGAAGATTCTGGAAAGTACCTGAGATTATGCAAGGAGGGCCTTTGAAAAACAGCTCTGAGCCAATCAGTGTAAGACAGCACAGGGTGACAGTGCGAAAAAGTATACTAAGTACACCCAGATTTTAATGTGCATAAGGATGACTAGCAAAGTCTCATAAGAACCAAGTGAAGATGGAACCGAGAGCCCACCTAAAAAGGTGGGGT